GGCACATCCTGCAGCCATCCTTTAGCGGTGCGCCCAGGGTGAGGCATGTCCAGCCCTCTGGGAAACGGTGAGGATGGGACCCTCTGCCTCCCCAGGGATGTGGAAAGGAGGAGAGCGGTATGTCAGGTAGGGGTAAGGATCTGGCCACGGCAAACAGATTTGGGCTGGAGCTGGATGTGGAAGCAGAGCCTTGGGAAGCCTGGGATAATGCAGTCTGTGCCAGGACCTGGAGAGATTTCATCCTGCCCTGTCAGCCCAGGATGAATACTCTCTTCTGCTGATAGATGTTGTGCAGCCCACCCAGGCTATGGTACAGACTTAAACAGCAGGCAAGGGAGGGTAAGACTTAAATGTAGGTTTTGAGTTAATTTCATCGTAATTATCTGACGCTAATAGGACAGTGAAATGGGATCCTTGCAGGCACGGAAATCCTCACGGACACAGCCCAGGTCTGCAGGGCCGTGTCTGTCTGCGGGAAACAGTGACGCCCTCCCCGTAGACTGGCAGTGCAGTGGCAACAAGTGGGTTTTGCTGTACACGAGAAGCCGTTCCTGGTGAGCCCCTTAGCTGCTCTTTGCGCTCACACGCCATAAACACAGTCACATAAAAATATATCATTATCTCAGCAGGGATGCTGCCGGAATAGCGAGGTTAATTTGGTGTGCTGAGCCCCAGCCAAAGGAGGGTGCCCGTACCCGGGGCTGCAGCGCTCGCGCTCTCTGCACAGCTGCTCTTCTCTTTGTCTTTTGTCTTGTTTGTGAAACAAACAGCATCTGGCCCTTATTCAACTAGAGTGATAAAAAAAAAAAATGCTTATGAGACTAAAAATACATTCTTTTTTCCCCTTTATTTCCCTCCTCCTTTGTCCTCTGAAAAACCTTCCATTACAGAGTTTTGTTTTTTTTAAAAAGATCAGATTAAAAAAATCTGTCTTGTCACCACAAAGACGGGAGCTCCTTTCTGTTTGGAAAATGACTGTTGTGTTATATTGGTTGTCTCCTCTTTTCCAATCCATTTGAGGAAATATTCTTTGTTATCACAAGGTTTCCCATAATAATTTTTAGAGCTTCTTTTGTGCTCTTTTTTCCACTGTTTCCATTTAACAAATATTATGCAACAAATCCCAGAAGCTACTCAGGTAGTTCCAAGCCAGAGATACGCTGGTGTATCTATTTTTCCAGATTAGAATGTAATCATGCTCCCTGCTCAGGAAAAAAAAAATCCAACCTGTTCAGCACAGCAATTCTTAATCTTCTTGGAAGATGTATGCACACATGATGAGGAAATCCCCACAAATATTTGTGACTGAATATTACTACAAGAGTGACCATTCTCTTGGGTTTTGGGGTGGTTTATATCCCCCCTGTTTGTTTTTTTTTTCTGAAAAGAAAGAGGAAAGCCCTCTTTTTTTCCCCGAATAATTGTATTTGCCAAGGGACAGTGCAAAAGCAAAGGAGTGAATCTTGAGGATTGCCACCTGATGAACCAATTAAACTTGTGACTGCTGAAGTGTTGAAGTGAACAAAACTGACAAACAATGTGAAATTTTAAGTATTCCACTGAAAAACACTGACCAGCAAAATGACAGTTGAGTTTAGAGAGAGACCAAGATTTCTGCAAGATTTGTTTTGGCTTTGGTGAACTAAAAACAGTTTTCGGGTTTAAAATTACCATGTTAGGACTTTTTGCCTAGTTTTGATGCGGTTCTGTGCAAAAAAGAAAACCACAAACCCAACCCAAACACAACTCGTGGCAATCTCGAGCATGCTGTGAGCTTCCTCAGTGCAAGTGGAAAACAACTCCTAAGAAATTTGCTTCGCTCTCGCCAGAGACTGAGAGTACATTCCCCCTGCATGATCTTTCTTTTTTTCTTTTTCCCCCCCAGAGGTTCCCTTATAAAGGTACAGACAGAGGCATTTCCACCCTTGCTCGGGTTGGCACACACTCCATCACCCGTGTCCCCCCCGTCCCAAGCACGGAGCCAGCCCTGGCAGCGCCGGAGGGCTCCCACTTACCAGCAGCAAGGTGCCACGGCCCGGCCGGGGGCAGCCCTGGGCAGCGGGCTGCAGCGGGCAACGCTGGCTCAGCCACTCCATCTCATCCCCTCCGTCCCTCCACCTGCTCTGCCCAGAGCTGGGAAGGCTGCCCGGGAAGGCTGCCCGCAACGAGCACTAACTCCTCCTCCTCCTCTTCTTCTTCCCTGGCTGCCTGCGGGCTGGTACCCGCCTGCCTGCCCCAGCGTGGGGCTGAGGCACGGGCCCGTGGGCCAGCACGGTGTCCCCCCGGCGCTCCTGCCTCCCCACGGACCCTTCCTCCACCTGCTCTGCCCAGAGCTGGGAAGGCTGCCCGGGAAGGCTGCCCGCAACGAGCACTAACTCCTCCTCCTCCTCTTCTTCTTCCCTGGCTGCCTGCGGGCTGGTACCCGCCTGCCTGCCCGAGCGTGGGGCTGAGGCACGGGCCCGTGGGCCAGCACGGTGTCCCCCCGGCGCTCCTGCCTCCCCACGGACCCTTCCCCACCACCCCGAGCCCCAGCATCCAGCCCTAGCACGCAGCTCCATGCTCAGCCAGCCCCAGCAGCGGGGTCAAAGCCGTAGCAGGGACAAACAGACAGCCTGGTAGTACCGGTGCTGGTCTCAGAACCAGCTGGAGAAACCTCTCCCTCCAGTGTAAGCACTGGGGTCCTACCAGTGCTGTCTGAGACAGTTGCTGACGCCATTTGGCACTTTTGCTTTAATTTCCCCATCTATAAAATAGTTTATTTTCTCAGATTGAGTATTTTTGCGGCTCTGTACACTTTAGACAGAAACTACTCGGAAGCTGCTAAGTTGTGTTGTGTTGTTTGGGCCTAAAATGCTCCTGTAAGCAACCCAGTGCAGAGGAACACGGAGCTCCATTCTGTCTCACGCTGTAGCTTTATTACATTACTGTCATTTCTCATAAGCTATTAGAAAAACACAGGAACTGTCACCCCGCAGCGTACAGTACTTCTGGTGCAGCAGCCCCAGCCCGGGTTCAGACGAGAGCCTGGCGGCTGCGCTCCCGCACACCGTTCCTGGAAGAAGCTGCCTGCTTGGGGACCTCAGGGAGGTGTGAAATACCCCCCGCTCTGCAGTACGGTAACGGTCACGTATTGGCTACACCCATTGTCTCCCCTGCTGTCCACGGGCTGAAAAGTTTTCTCCTGCTGGTGTGAAGCAAACCCTGTGTTTTCTGGCAGCGCGCCCCACCGTGAGGCGGCCGAGCCGTCCCCAGCGCCCCGAGCAGGGCTGAGAGGCAGCACGGGGGTGGGGGGGGTGTCCCAGCACTGCCAGCGGGACCCGCCCCGGGGTGCAGCTCTGCCACTTCGGCATCTCCAGGCTGAGCTCCCGCGTCCCCATTTCACACGGGTGACACCGCCTTAGGGCTCCAGGCCCGCGTTCGGCCCTGGAGGGGCCTGTTCTCCACAGTCCCCGGAGTGCCCCTCCCTGCGAGGGCTGCCCGGCTGGCTCGGGGCGCACCCCAGGACAGCGACTGACTCTCCTGGCTGAGGCAGTTTTCATTCCC